ATACATAATTTTAGAAATACCCTACTTTTGTTGTTACCTGATTTTTTTAAACAGCCTTACTGAGGTATAGCTTACATATCATAGAATTTGGGTCGTCTTAAGTGTACAATTCAGTGATGTGGTTTTTGTTTTTTTTTTTTAAGATTTTATTTATTTATTTGACACAGAAAAAGCGAGAGAGGGAACACAAGCGGGGGGGGTGGGAGAGGGAGAAGCAGGCTTCCCGCTGAGCAGGGAGGCCGATGTGGGGCTCGATCCCAGGACCCTGGGATCATGACCTGAGCCAAAGGCAGACGCTTAACGACTGAGCCACCCAGGCACCCCACAATTCAGTGATCTGTAGTAAATTTATAACCTTATACAGCTATTACCATAACCCACTTTCAGACCATTTCCATCACCCATAAAGATCCTTTGTGCTCATTTGTAGTTGATTTGTTACCTGATTTTTTGCCATGTTATTACATATTCAGCAAATATTTATTGAGTGTCTACTATGTGCCAGGCAGTAATCTGGATGATAGTTTGTAAAACAGATAAAAATCCTTGCCCTCTTGGGGCTTGCATTTTATAGAGCTAACTTTGTATTCTTCCTTAAGATCAGTTTAAATAATGACCTAGTATTCAGCATGTAGGTGCACTATGCTTTAGTGATTTCCAAGAATGTGGACATTTTGGTTGTTTTCATTGTTTTGTTGTTGTAATTGAATATACTGACGGATAAATTCTTGTGCCTATATCCGTGACAGAGAAGTGCGCAGTCAAGAACAATGCCTGTCGTAAGGCTTTTGTCATACTTGCGGACCGGGAGTGCAGGAGAGCACCGCGGTCCTTACAGCACTACCGACTGGGATTAAATCTTACCAATCTGAGAAAGATTTGTATCTCATGTTAATTTTTATTTGTTTGTTTATTGATGTTGTTAAGCACTTTATCTGTGTTTCAAGACTTAATTTCTTTTTTTGAAGCATCTGTTCATAGTCTTTTGCCCATTTTTCAATTGTTAAATTTGCTTTTATTGATTTGTAAGAGTTTTATACTTCTTCACCATATATGTCGTATTTTTCATAATTTGTCTTTTGTTCATTTGTTTTTGGTCAAAAGCCATTTTTTAGATGTGTAAAAGGTCTTCTGTGGTTAAATCTCTGTTTTTTTCCTCTGGTATCTGTCTTTGTGTGCTTAGTAAGACCTTCTCTAGAAATTTTTTTGGGGGGTATGTGGTGGAGAAGGGATCTAACTTTATTATTATATATTCCTATTATCCAAGCAGCATCTATTTCAAAAATTCTTACTTTTTCACTGATTGGAAATGGCCCACAGGGCCCATCTGGTCTGACTTCCACCTGCCTTGACAGCCTCGTTAGGCCTCTGTCCTTCCCCTTGCTCCTTCCCCCAACTGTACCACACTTCTCTGACAGCGCTTTCCTTCCTGCTCAGGCTCTCCTGGCTTTGTGTCGTTCCTTTTGTCTGCAGCACCTCCCCGCCCCCCCATTACAAAAGATCTCATAGCCCTTGTCATAGTTTATAACGAGAGAATTTGAGCTCACCTGGACCCCTCGTGCCTGGTGCAGGGAAGAAGACAGTGTATACTCACAGTGAATGAATTCTAGTGTGATCATACATTTTGACATCTGTATGTTTGGCTGTTTTTTTTGTTTTTTTTTTTTTTCCTAAAATGTCTTCAGTATTGGGCGCCTGGGTAGCTCAGATGGTTAAGCGTCTGCCTTCGGCTCAGGTCATGATCCCAGGGTCCTGGGATCGAGTCCCGCATCAAGCTCCCTGTTCTTTGGGAGCCTGCTTCTCCCTCTGCCTCTCTCTCTCTCTCTCTCTCTCTGTCTCTCATGAATAAATAAAAAAAATCTTTAAAAAAAAATGTCTTCAGTATTTATTCTTCTAGATCTACACTGTCCACAGTGTGGTAGCCACTGGCCACATGTGGCTGTTGAACACTTAAATGTGGTTATTCCAAATTGAGATGTGCTGTAAGTGTAAAATACACATCAGATTTCAAGAGTTAGTATGAAAAAAATGAAAGGTCCCATTAATAACTTTCTAATAACAGTTATTATAATGAGTTATTAGAGTACTTAACTAGGTTAAGTAAAAATGTATAAAATTTTAATATTTTTATTGTTAATGGAACTGCTAGAAAACACTACACAGGTGGCTGGCATTATATTTCTGTTGGACAGCAGTGTTCTAAGATGAATTTTAAGTCATTTTGTGAAGTTACTAAGGAAGTACTTCATTGGACTGCATTATAGTCATAAATTAATTTTGGGGGAAAGTGTCTGTAGCATGGGATCTTAAACGTGATATGTATCTTCATTTATACATGTTTTTGTCCTTATTAAAGTGTTAACAGTTTTCTTCTTGTAGATCCTATTTTTTGTTTATCCCCCAGGTATTTTATAGTTTCTGTTACTATTGTTGGTTGTGACTTGTCATTATCTTACCTAACTGGTTTTTTATGTAGAATAATTTTTGAAACGCTTCATTTGCTAGTTCCTGCTTCTAAACAGATTTGTTCCAGTGATTCCCTTGTGTTTTCTGTGTAAATAGTCCTGTCTGCCTTGAATAGTAATTTTACCTCTTCTTTTTTCATGGCTCTGTGCCTCAATTTTCTCTTGTCTGTGGCTTTGGCTAGAACTTCCAGAACAATGTTGAGTAAGAGAAGTGATGGGCAGACAACCTTGTGTCCTCCCAGGGACTAACAGGAATGCCTCTACGAAAGTGTTTACCGGAGTGTGCACCAGGGAACACTAATTCTTGGGAATATTTACATGTGTACCTTGAGAGAAGAGTTACACACTTAAATGAGTGTGCAAACTGCTGAGCTAAATAGAATTCTTGTCTGCAGGACTTTTCAGGTGGGTTATTAGGCTAATAACAGGAAGGCTAATATACAATATATATATTGTATAATCCCTAGGAGGTAGGGATTTGAGTCTAGCGCATGGGCTTGGGTGCCACTAAATACATTTTGGGAAATGCAGATATGATGTTTCTAAGGATGGTGTTGCCATTGGCTTTGTAGTAGGTGCTGTTTATTACATTAGGAAAATATTTTCTTCCTATTTTTTCCTTAACTTTGAAAAGGCTTTTAACTTTCTAAAATCCACGTTTGGCATAGTTTTGATTTGGCCATATGGTTTTTCTCCTTTGACTTACTGATGTGGCAGATTATACATTTCCTAACATGTTGCCGTCCTTACATTTGGTCACAATATATTATTCTCTTAATAGGTTATGTTTCTGAGTATTTCCTTGAGGACTTTAAAATCTGTTTACTTAGGTGAAGTTGACAGTCCTCTTCTCTATCCTGTTCGCCATCTTCTGGCATCAGATTTATGCCATATAAATTGAGATGCTTTAATTTTTTTTTTTTTTTTTTGAGATGCCTTAAATGTTTCAGCATGCATCTAAAACAGTGTGAACGGCCTGAAGATCATTTATGCTTTGGCACTTCTGTTTCTTTTTATTTAATTCTGCCAATTTATGTTATTCTAAAAATATGTCCGTTCCATACAGATTTCAAATTGATTTCAATCATAAATCTAGGATAAATAAGGGCACAGTATTCCTCCTTAACTGAAATGTTTTAACTCAGATTCTGACATGATAAAAAAAATTCTAGTGTGATCTAGTCACACTAACTGGTTGATCCTTTCCTGCGGGCGTCAGATTTAATTGCACATTGTTGTGTCTTATAATTTTAAATTTTCTCTGCGATTATATGCTGTTCTGTATTCATTACTTTTTTGCTTTCTTTGGGTCTAATTGGTTGTTTTCTGACCTCTTTGATTTCATTTATTTTTCTTCTTTGTTGTTTAATGATAAAAACTTTTAAGGCACTGACTTTCCCTGTTAAAATTTTTGGTTTCAAAATCCTCAACATTTCATTTTGAAAAATTTCAAATATACCAGAAACGTGGATTTTACAGAAAACACCTGTATACACCCACCATCTATGCTCTACACATTCCTGTGTTTTTTGCTTTATCACCTATATATATCCATCTCTTTTTTTTTTTGGATGCATTCTCTAGTAAGTTGAAGACATAATTAAACTTTACTCCTGAATCTTTCTTGCTGCAGATTTGATGTGAGTTTTTTTTTCTAAATAGTTTTATTCCTTTTTGATTTCCTCTTTGATTCAGTGCTTATTCAGAAGGTGCTTAAATTTCTATTGGTTGAATTTTAACCACTGAAATATAATTATTAGATCTGATTTTGTTGTGTCTTGGTTAGAGAGTGCAGCCTGGGCTGTATCCACTTCCATGGTTATGAGTGATTTGGTGCATTGGATTCTTGGCAAGGGCAGCCAGCCTGTGCAAGGTGTGCGTGCGCTGTGAGCACTGGTGGACAGTGATATGCTTGTGATATGTCCATCACTCTTGGTGCTTGTCCTGTCTAAAGCTCTTCACTGAAAGGGTCAATTGCCAACCCAAAAGGATATAAAGGTGTGCAGAACTGAAGGGGAAAAAAATGCACTTCAAGACAACTCAGATTCTAAGCTAAAAAGGGTTTAGCTCTGTTCAGTGTATCCCATGTGCTGTCTGCTTGAAAAACACCAATTGGAAACATACTGATAAGGCAGAACATTTTTTAGACGAGTTGGCCTATTTTTTACAAAGTATTCCAAACCCTCAGAAGTAGGTGAGACTGGGAGATATTTTTCCTAAAAGGATACCAAATTCTCAATCAGCTGAAAAGGCCCTACTATCTGTAACATGTTATAATTTTGATGAAGGTGAATGTTAGGCATTTGGGGCACTAGGCTGATTGATCTTTAGGTTATCTGACTTTGGGTGAATTGACCAAGACCAGTGAAAGACTGAAAATAAGCAAGAGGAAGAATGCCCAGGTCGACCCTTGGAGGCCCAGTAGCTGCAGTGGTGGTGGTGATGGTGGTGGTGGGATTTTTGCAAGCTTGTGTTTATGCCACTTGTACTGAGTGAGGAGTCACTGGTGAATTATGAAACTCTCTCTTTCTGCAGATTGCGCTTCATGTCAGTAGAAATGGACAGCAGCAGTTTTATTCAGTTTGATGTGCCCGAGTACAGCAGCACTGTTCTGAGCCAGCTAAACGAACTCCGCCTGCAGGGGAAACTATGTGACATCATTGTTCACATTCAGGGTCAGCCATTCCGAGCCCACAAAGCCGTCCTCGCTGCCAGCTCCCCCTATTTCCGGGACCATTCAGCATTAAGTACCATGAGTGGCTTGTCAATATCCGTGATTAAAAATCCCAATGTGTTTGAACAGTTGCTGTCATTTTGTTACACTGGAAGAATGTCCTTGCAGCTGAAGGATGTTGTCAGCTTTCTGACCGCGGCCAGCTTTCTTCAGATGCAGTGCGTCATCGACAAGTGCACGCAGATCCTGGAGAGCATCCATTCAAAGATCAGTGTTGGAGATGTTGACTCCGTGACTGTCAGCGCTGAGGAGACAACCGAGAGTCGTAATGGAGTTAAGGACAGCAGCTTCTTTGCCAACCCGGTTGAGATCTCCCCTCCGTATTGCTCTCAGGTACGGCAGCCCACCACGAGCAGCGACCTTCGGATGGAGACGACGCCCAGCAAAGCTCTGCGCAGCCGCTTACAGGAGGAAGGGCACTCGGACCGAGGGAGCAGTGGGAGCGTTTCCGAGTACGAGATTCAGATAGAGGGGGACCATGAACAAGGGGACCTGCTGGTGAGGGAGAGCCAGATCACCGAGGTGAAAGTGAAGATGGAGAAGTCCGACCGGCCCAGCTGTTCCGACAGCTCCTCGCTGGGGGACGACGGGTACCACACGGAGATGGTGGACGGGGAGCAAGTTGTGGCAGTGAACGTGGGGTCGTACGGCTCCGTGCTGCAGCACGCCTATTCCTATTCCCAAGCAGCCTCACAGCCAGCCAGCGTCTCCGAAGCTTTTGGAAGTTTGAGTAATTCCAGCCCGTCCAGATCCATGCTGAGCTGTTTCCGAGGAGGGCGCGCGCGCCAAAAGCGGGCTTTGTCCGTCCACCTGCACAGTGATCTGCAGGGCTTGGTGCAGGGTTCCGATGGTGAAGCGATGATGAATAACCCCGGGTACGAGAGCAGTCCCCGAGAGAGGAGTGCAAGAGGGCACTGGTACCCGTACAATGAGAGGTTGATCTGTATTTACTGTGGGAAGTCCTTCAACCAGAAAGGAAGCCTTGACAGGCACATGCGGCTCCACATGGGCATCACCCCCTTTGTGTGCAAGTTCTGTGGGAAGAAGTACACGCGCAAGGACCAACTGGAGTACCACATCCGGGGCCACACCGATGACAAACCATTCCGCTGTGAGATCTGCGGCAAGTGCTTTCCATTCCAAGGTACCCTCAACCAGCACCTGCGGAAAAACCACCCCGGCGTCGCGGAAGTCAGGAGTCGCATCGAGTCCCCTGAGAGAACAGATGTGTACATGGAACAGAAACTAGAAAATGATGCATCCGCCTCAGAGATGGCCCTAGATTCCCGGATGGAAATTCACACAGTGTCTGACGCTCCTGATTAAGATGGTAACGAAGTGCACCCAAACAAAGCACATTAATCAATGCATATTTGTGATTTGCTTTGTTGTAATCTTTGGTTTTCCCAACCATCTGGAAATCTCTCGGTCTCTTGGCAGTTTTTCTAAGGTTTCTGGAAGGAACACTTCATTGTGTTTATCCTTTCCCCCCGCCCTCCCTCTCCCAAGGAGCTCAAAGCATGAAGGGCAACGTATCCAGGGAAAACACAGGCTGACAGTATTCCTCTTTGGCTGAACTCTTAATCCAAAATCTGCCAGTGATTTAGCTATGCCAACTGGTTGACCCTACATTCTCTGCCAAGAGGCATGCTCTCTCGTGTGCGCTGGCATCGGTGCGTTTCCATGGAGAGAGACCAGGATGCCGTCAGCTGATACAAATGGGTAACCTTTTCTAATTTAAAATGACTTCTAGGGGGTAGTTAGACAATTTATATATATATATATAATAAAGTGATTATTATATATATAGTATATATACATTCTCAAATTTGATTTTATTCTGGTTGAGGTGAATGTAAGAGGAATATATAATTTAATACAATGTGAACAGGGCTTTTGACTCTGTCTCGTCCCTACCTGATGTTAGGGTTTTGCCCCTTTATTTCCCTTACAAAAGAATGTTAATAGGTTTTCATATATATTAATCATTGTGTCCAAAAGCAAGCAAAGCAAATCACAGTGTTCATAGCTCTGCTTCGTAACAAGTACATAAACCAAATGCCATAAAATGTATTCAACTCTAGTTGGAAACCGTTTGGAATTTTTGTTCGTTGTCCAGTAGGTAAGCTGGATGACCCGTGGTGCTGACCTTTTTACATATTGTAGTGTTATATTAGCCAACCCCAAAGGAGCAGTGGTTTTCAATGTTTTTACTGGCTTACGAATCTACCTTCATTCCGTACTGTAGAAACATACATACCAGGTAACTAAATCAAATCACTCTACCATGAGTTAGTACTCGCACTAAAGGAAAGGGATTTGTAGTTCTGTCTACAAAATTCTCCAAGCAGTGTTGTGGGTTTTTTTTTCCCCCCTCTCTCTCTCTTTTTTCAAACAGCTAGTTCAGGTGCACAGCAACTTTTCTACATGCAGTTCCCAGGGAAACTGCAGAACTTGGAATTTGTACTTTTTGTAAAGATATACTCTATGGGAATTGCAAGCAATATCTCTATCTTAGTATTGTGTGTGCTAATGAGAGCAGTGGCTCCCCCACTCTCAGTGTTTCCTGCTTAAAGAAACCAACAGTCAAAAAGCCCTCTATGATACTCTGTGTGTCACCAAATCTGTGTGTGTCACCATTTTTTTTGGTCACGTGGTGCTATTTTTTATGTTCCGTATCTTTTAGGTCAGTATCGTTGTAGAAAATGTGAAATCTAATGGTCATAGTGAATTACAGGTTTTTTTCCCCTCTCTTGAGTTTGTAGCTTGAAGAGAGACCTCAAAATCATGTGCTGGCAAACACATTACTGTGTGAGAACACACCTGAGTCCTGTTTGAGTAACGTTTTGTGAGCGCTCTAGGAAAAGTCTTCAGTTCTGTATTTTGTTTCCCCGTGTGCTCGTAGTAAACAAAACGGGCTTCCCGAGATCTCTTCGGTACTGTGTACTCCCATAGAGGAATCTCGGCAGCAGTCGGATGGTGTGTTGGTGCTGCAGGCTGCCCGCAGAATCTGTGCCCGAGAACCTCGGCCCTGAGACCCGCAGCCAGTGTCTTTCCACAGGGGAACAGCACAAACCACCTAAAAGCAACACGGACACGAAATAGACCAACCTCAGAGGCTAGGAGTTAAAGGAATACAAAAATAGACGTTTGCCGGTTTTCCATGCTTTTTTGGCTCTTAAAATACCAAGAATGGTGGGGGCTTGGGGGGGGGGGGGGGGGTGTTTTGGGGAGGTTTTTGTTTTGTTTCGTTTTGTTATTTTGAGAAAAGAAAATCATTCAGGCCCTTGTGTGTGATAGCCCCCGGGGGTGGTAGCTGTGCGGGAGCGTGTCTTTAGCACACAGGATCTGTCTGCTCACGTGCGAACCGCTGCGCCACACGTCAGTGTTACTACGTACAGATTACACTCTAATCCTGCTGCTCCCGAGGAGCAGCTTTTGCTAAATCGGGTATATAGTATGCCTTTTCCTGTCAAACTGCCTAAGTAAGGGGTGCGTTCTCTCCCTGAAGCACTTGCCCAACTCCTGTCAAAGCCGCGTGCCTCAAGGGGAGGCTGGACCCCAAGTGTTTACCCACTTAAATATGTTCTGGGGTTTCAGGTAAATGTTTGTGATTTTTGTTTTTTTTTCCTTACATGAGTTAGCTTGGTTTTGATTTTTCTTTTTAAGAATTAAATGCAAAAAATTTGTGTGGTGATACAAATTAAGTTTGTGACAAGAAATGCCGAAATCAAGGACATGAGAGGTCAGGCTCAGGGAAGGAACCTCCTTTTCACTCAGGCTTGGGGCCTCCTGAGAGGTCTCCAGAGCATTCCGTGATAGATGAGACAAGTCAGGAGGGGAGAGCACTTGGGGCAGGTACCTCGGATATCCTGGTTCTTGTCATTGTGTCCGTCTTTACCTTATTTACACGGAGTTCCTTGTATTTGTCAATTTGTTTAACTGGTTTGAGTTTACCAAAGAGTGACTTATCCAAAATTGTCTTTGACAAAACTATACATTGCTTTGATTGTACAGTTCAGGTTCAAACATTGTAATGGGACTGTTAAGGGGCAGAAAATTGATTGAGTTTCTCTCTAATAACCATGATTCCACATCTTGCAAGTTCCACTTGCCTCCCATTCATGTTGCTAACACTTGACCCTTTCCACTGCTAGCAGTGTTAAGAATGAATTCTCAAGCCATAACCCAGTACTGTAAGGTTCCACAGGGCTTCGAGGAGGCAGAGCGGAGGCCAGCGCAGAGCTGGGCAGCCTCTCTGAGCGAGCACGCTGTCGTGCTTCTCAGTGTGCGTGGCGGGTGGAAGGTTAACTCCATTCAGATCGGGCAGCAGCAATTAATTGTGCCTTGTCACATGAGGACGTGCCAGGAGGATGAACATGGCCACAGAACAGAAACATTCTCTCCCCGAAGGTCCCTTCACGTCTCCACAGACGAAGTTCGCTGTGTAACTCCTGAGAGCAACTCTTTTTGGAAAGCAAAGTCCCGATTTCTGTACAGTTTTAGGTTAGATGTTTCATTTATAACAAATGCAAAAGTCAATTAAGATAGAAGTGATATGTGAAGAAATCTTTTACAGCAAAACATATCCTGAATTCATATAGGTCTGTTCATAATTGAGTCTCTTCTTGAGCTACCTTTTCCAATACGTAGACAATGTGAAGACAGTGACGGCGTCCTTTCCTCTAGGTGTTTCACCTGTTACTACAAACTGTGAAAACAAAGAATTTTATACTTTTACTAATGTTTGTGGTTTTAAACAGTTGTTTTCATTCTAATCAGTTCTCTCCCCTCTAATTTCTACTAAAGCTGTAAATACATTTAGAAATTATATTTGTAAATACAGCATATGAAGACAAGTTAATTTTTTGGTCAGTGGAAAGCCTCCCAATTGGCTCTGCCTTGGCAGTTTTGTTTTTTTGTTCGTTTGCGTGTGTGTGTTTGTGTGTGTGTGTGGCGCGCATGCGCGCGCGCGCGCGTGTGTGTGTGTGTGTGTGTGTGTGTGTGTGTAACAGCAGAAAGGATACTGTCGGTTCACTGTTAAGCAGAATATACTGTAGAACTAAATTGATAATTTTCCAGCTTCCAGAGCGTGAGTAGACGTCTTTTCTCATGATAGCAGTTATAACCAAGTCTTTGTTTTTCCCTTAGCCCAGACCATAGGCCTGCATATCTTTGTGTGTGGTTTTTGTTTTTACTTTTATTTTTCCAGCCTAGACTCTAGGAAGAACTTGCAGGAACACAAAACAAGGGCTGGGGGGTGGGGGGGGGTGGGAATCATCTACATGAATGAGCTTTACTTTAAAGAAATCAATGTATTTTATTTTAACAACTTTTTCTATTAGTTACTGTGATTTTTGTTGTTGTCTTTGTTATTGTTAAATTCTGTAATGGTTTCCTGTGAAGCCTCCACTGAAAGGGACTCAAATATGCAACACCTAAACTATTTTCCAAGGGCACACGCCCCTTGAATGGTGCTTCTAGACTGGTCAGGGTTATTTATTAAATTTTATATATGAAAGTATTGGGGAATTATGTAAATTCTTTATATGAAACTATCTAGTTCATAAATCATAGATTTCATATTACTCAGTGCAACTGAACTGAACGTTCAGAAGAGTCATTCACATTGTTCCAAATTTGTAATGGTTGTCGCACGTCACATACGTCTTCTTCAGTAAGTGCCAGAGTGTTTCCACTGTTTCTGCCCGGTGCTCGACTTCTCGGCCCGGAGGAGGACCTTGTTTTCCCTGGTTCCCCTCTGGGCCTGGCACACACAGGGCTCCTGTAGTTCTTGGTCAAGTCCTGGAGTGAGCCCTGCTGCAGACGCAGTAACCAGACCTCTTGCTGCCCCTCAGTGACAAGTATGCTGTGAATTCAACCTTTGGACTTGCTGCCCAAGCCTTTGGTTGCTGCCCTGACTATAGTAAGAGGTAAACTTACCTGGTTTCTTTGAGAATGACCATTTTCCTAATGTGAAAACCATCTCTCTCACCACTTTTATTAGTAGGGCTAACATTTTTTTCCGTTATAAATGGTTGAGCAATTTGAATGACTTAACACAGTGTCATTATCTTGCAATATAAACTGGTAACCTCACAAGCCCACACTTCATCACCATATGAAGTAAATGAAGCTAGCTAAGCGGATGCTGTATCAACTAGTAACTTGCCATTAAGGATTATTTTATAGCATGAATTTAAGACTATTTATTCAAATGATATTTTACTCTTGTATTCATTTTGTTTTAGATTTGTGACATGAATATTTCAGTGCTGCTTAATTTTGTTCTGAATTCTTGTTTCTTGCTTGTAAATGGCTTTTTTATGGTATAAAGTCAATGGAAATTGCTGTTTGTAAATAAAAATGCTGCTAGAGCAAATGGGCTGTGGCCTCCCTCTGTGTTTGCCCCTCCAGCCTCCCTGAGCCCCACTGGCTCTACAAATGTCTGCCGTGTCATAATTTCTGTTAACCGCTGTTTTTGAGAGGGGACGATTTCATAAGAAGGTCTTATGCCACCATAGTGCTGGGAAGACGACAAAGGAGCAGGTGTATTTCTATATGCCTCCCTCTGGTGTGGCGAAGACCGATTGTCAGGGGCCCCCCGTGTGCGCCCAGTCTCCCCTAGAAAGAATCGCTGGTGACCCCTGTCCCCACTTGCCTGCAAAAGCTCTCCCTTGGCTCTCTGGGTGTGCCATGTTCACTCCCGCCGCAGAGCGTGGAGCTGTTTGCGTCGTCTCCGCCGTCTCCAGCTTCTTCCTCCCCATTACCAGTTGACTCGACTTTAGATTTCAGCCTCCCTCAGTCAGGGAGCCCCTGCCTACAGCAGCAGCCCTTCTAGATCAAGCCCCTTTACCAGGCACGGATGGAGCAGCATGCCTTCTGCCCTTCAGAACAAGTATTTCAGCTGGTTAATTGTATGTTGATGAGTGAGATGGCTCAGCTAATGTTTCTCCCTCTAGTCTGTAAGCTTCGTGACAGCAGGGATCCAGAACTGTCTCCCTCGCCTGTATATCCTTAGCACAGGACCTGGCACCGCACCAGTAGGGATCGAACGAATGAGCAAATGCATGTATTCTGGGAGGTTTGAGCGGGGCAGCATGGCTGGGCAACAGGGAGGGATTAAACTTGGCTCCTAGTCCGCTGGAGCTGCCTGGCTCCTTGCTCCTTACTGGAAAACGGGGCCTCCCTCTCAGGAGGGCTCCTCTTCAGCGCAGTGGGCAGGGAGATGGCCCCTCGTGTAAAAGCTCCATGTAGGGACCAGCTTCAGGTGCTCCCTGGGGGTAGGGGGACTCCTGAGCCCCTCAAGGGCGCGTTGGAGAAAGTGCATCAACTTCAAGTCTGGAGATCTGCTGCTAGCCGTGCCTGCGCCTGACTGTGACCTTAAGCAGGTCCCTCACCCTCTTTAGTCCCAGTTTATCTATAAAATGATGGAGTTGGACTCTCAAGGCTCAGATAATTTGTGAGGCAACGGCTTCCCATAGGCTTTTTCCTTAAGGCTGGAAAGGCAGCCCAAGGTCAAGAGTCAGGGGCGTTCCTCTCTGGTAGGGGTAGAGGAACATCCCGAGGGGGTGAGGTCCTGGAAGTGGGAGCACCACCTGAAGCAGATACACTGAGTTGGAGCCGGGGCTGTGTAGACATCAGTTGAGAAGCTTTGCTGACAAATAAGTAGCCCGGCAGTAGCGGGCTCTTTTTTTTTTTTATTTTTATATTTTATTTATTTGACAGAAAGCATGCGCACCCAAGCAGGGGGAGTGGCAGGCAGAGGGAGAGGGAGAAGCAGGCTGCCCGCCGAGCACGGAGCCCTATGCGGGGCTCAATCCCAGGACCCCGGGATCATGACCTGAGCCGAAGGCAGTCACTTAACTGACAGTCACCCAGGCGCCCGGTAGCGGGCTCTTTTCATCCGCCCTAAAGGCACAATCTGTCCTCACTTTGGTTTCTTCCCATTACAAGTCACACAACTGGCTAAGGCCTCCTGGCTTCAGGGATGTTTATGATGTCCTTTATAATGTCAAAGGACAACCACCAATCCGTAATTGCTTGCTGGTTTTCATCCCTGTTCCCTAGGCCATTTCCTTGAAAGCCCCTCATAGCTGAGTGACTTTTATGTTTAACATCTTGTGATGTTTTCCTTGTTTATCACAACAGACCTGGCTTGCACACCTTTTGTCAGCAAAACTTTTTCAGAACACAA